AGTATATTGGAACCTAACCATTGTAATGATTTTTCATGTCATCTCAAAGGTTAGTCATACTGAGTAGGTTAAATATGCAAAACATACTGACACACGGTTTATTGATAGATACAATCAGCATTGCAATTCATTCGAATTTATGTATATCAAAATTACCCATAATCTGAACCCAAATTAACATTCATATTTCTAGCATAACATATCATATCCAAATTTCTAAAAACTCACATACAGAAATGCCATATTAAAGCCCACTTTCTAAGGCACTGTTAAACCCAAATCACCACAAGACAGCTTGTGGGTGGTGGACACACACACATATGCACACATGTATGTATGTATGTATAAGTGTGTGTGTGTGTGTGTGTGTGTGTGTGAGTGAGTGAGAGAGAGAGAGAGAGAGAGAGAGAGAGAGAGAGAGAGAGAGAGAGAGAGAGAGAGAGAGAGAGAGAGACTGTGTTTGTGTGAGTGTGTGTGCTTCACATCAGTTCTAAGGCAATTTCGGAAGAATGCTTTTCGCTCATTCCGCCTCGTAGAAGAGGATGTGCGCCTCCTGGACGAGCGGTGACTGGACGGGCTCCACCTGCTGGTCACTGAACTTGAACCACCTGTCGGCCTTCTTGCAGATGGCGGTGTAGTGGCCGCCGGTCATGGAGCCGCGGTGGCAGGCCACGGAGCGAAGCTGGTACTTGAGGCCGCCGCCGAAGAGCCTAAGGTTGGGGGGAGGAGGGAAAGAGTGGAGGATTAAAGGGTGTGGGGAAGAAGGAGGGACGGTAGGATGAGAGAGACCAGAATTTCGGAAGTTGCATGATTTAAGTGGAGGAAAGGAATTGAAGGATAAAAGGAAAAAGAGGATTTGGAACAAAAACAAACAAAAAGTGGAAGGGGTCGCGGGACAAAGGATAAACGACAGGTTAAGGTTAGAAGGGCAGGTGACGTGGAAAGAATGTGAGAAGGATATTAGTGACGCTTAAAAGATTGACGAACGTACAAGAAAGGTGTTTCTGCACCGAAGATGATAATTTTCAACGAACGTTAGCTTAATGAGAATACTAATATGGTATAAAACATTAAGTACACATTCTTAATTACCTGCGGACTTTCTTGATCTTATAATCATTCATGTCTGTGAGTTGAACCGGATAGTTTAGGAACGCTTTGTGGATACTTTTGCTGTTCGGTGAATACCTGGAGTGGAAAATAAGCATTATATGTATTATATATATATATATATATATATATATATATATATATATATATATATATATATATATATATATATATATATATATATATATATATATATATAATATATATATATATATATATATATATATATATATATATATATATATATATATATATATATATATATATATATGGTGTGTGTGTGTGTGTGTCTGTGTGTGTATGTATATTTGCATATATATTCTGATTATCGTTATTATTTTTATACACACACAATCACTCACATAGACACACACACACGCATAAATATATAGATATCGATAGATAGATAGATAGATAGATGGATGGATACAGACATACATACATGCATTTATTACCAACTATGCAAAATCTTGATTTTCAATGCCTAAGAATCTTTGAAAAGTTCCTTAAATTTGCATGAACCACGAACCTCACTCTCACAATAGAAAAGTGATCTACATACCTGTTGAAGTGTATGATGAGGATCTTTGGGAAAGCTTCGACAGAAACCTTCCTTGTGCATGATTTGCTCTTGCATCTGTTGCAATCCCACTCAATCCTTTGCTCCCCGTAAGCGTTGGCAATCAATGTCTGGGGAATGCACACCATGACAATGACGGGAAGGATACCGGTAATCATGGGGCTTATCTATTAAGTTTTCCATTAATTGTCCACGCATTCCCCCTCATGAACTGTCAGTACCTTTTCTGTCTTCCTGGCTTACCTGTAATCGGTTTCCGGGCTGATTTGGGTGGACGGTGAGTGTCAGGGAAGAAAATATTTCATCTTTTCGTAAAACCTCGTTTTTGCATCCATTACACTTAATCACCGCCTGCTCCTTTCCGAAAAAGAGGTCACTGAAGGGGGAATCTTCTGGATTCTGGAAGATAATGTTATCGCTGTTGTATTCAGTGTAGATGGTTTCATAATCTTTATAATATAATTATTGCAAAATGAAAAGAATTCCATACACACACACGAACACACATATATACATACAGACAAACACACACACACACACACACACACACACACACACACACACACACACACACACACACACACACACACATATATATATATATATATATATATATATATATATATATATATATATATATATATATATATATGTATGTATGTATGTATGTAAGTAACCCAGCTATATCTATCTAATTACTATATACATATATATATATATATATATATATATATATATATATATATATATATATATATATATATATATATATATATATATATATATATACTTACATGTTGTCACATACGT